TGTTGTTGCTGCCACTGCCACTGCTGATGCTGATGCTGCTGCTGTTGATGTTGTCGACGGTGCCGCACCTTGCATGCGAAAATCTTTTCACGCCTCGAGGCTAGGCAGGCAGCATGCGAAAAACTAATTTCGGGGCACACATCGTTTGTCTTGGCTCGGCTCTCTCATGCCGGAAGATGTTTCAATTTTGTGAAAAATCGCCACAATTAAATGATTCAGGTGGCCCGATTTCTACGTCTACGAAACTTTAGAAACGTTTCGCTATCGCTTAGGCCAGTGCCAACAACCAACCACTCGACTGACCGACTGACTGTTCAGACGGATGACATCATTTCATTGAGTCTCAATTTTATGCATAATTTGTCTGAAAATGGTCAGAAGACATTTAGACATTTAAAGTTGGAGATAAATCCTGTGCTTTGTGGGGATTGTCACTGGCCGAGCGCTGACGAATCAATCAATTGGGGGACAGATTGAAAAGTTGCCAGCTGATCATCGGCTCTGCTGATCGCTGAGCTAGATTAGAGGCCAGTTTTCGTAACGCTCGAGAGCGTTTTCCATGCTCCAGCTTGGAGCTGGGGGGAGCAGCGGGGCAGCGGGAAACAAATGACTTGAACAACGAACGTAAGTAATTGATGGATTTGCCTAAATAAAGAAAACATCAACATCAGTACAGCAGTGCAGCAATACAGCAGCAGCAGCAGCAGCACTGGGCAAAAGCGCTTTTCCAGGCAGGTGAAATTTCCATCATGATTATTAATGATGATGACTTTTTACGCTGCTGCCCGCAAATATTTGACCAACACTACAAAAACGAAGCCAAAAGCCAGATGTGTAAACTGACCCACTAAGCTCTGTCACTGGCACTGGCCCCAGTCCGAGTCCCAGTCCCAGTCCCAGTCCCGGTCCCGGTCCCAGCCCCAGAGCCAGACATTTTCCAAACGAAAATGTTAAATGAAAACTGCACAGCGCCCTGCGGCGACCCGGGACCCAGGCCAGGCCAGGCCGGGCCAGAGCGCAATAATTCAGCAATTTCCAACACTTGTGCAATTTCATAAAGCATTTTTGCCCAGTGGCCCAGGCAGTTGCCACACATTTCCGCGTAATCATCATAATTTTTAGTGTTTTTTTTTTCGTTGTTTTTTTACGAATCTGTTGATTTAGTGCAATCGAGGCGGGGTCCCAGCACCAGTCCCAGATCGTGTCCATTAACCAGTAGAAACAATTTGGTGCGCCACATAAAACGGCGCATTAAAACACATTTCAATTTGGACAGTTTTTGAGCAACGATGACTTCATTTCTGTTTTCTGTGCCACCAACTCGACTTCGACAGCGACTTCCCCTGCAAGAGTTTCCTTGATTTCTTGATTAATGCTGTGTACCTGAAGTCTCTCTGCCCAGTTGTCAATTATCATGATCATGATGATGATGATGATGATGATGACGATGCTGGCAGAATTATTATGTAACTTTTGGCATATTAAAATGATTTATGGCCCGTGGCATTGGCCATCGGCCAGCAAGCGCATGCTCTTGGCTTCGTTTTCATCTAAGCCATAAGCCATAAGCCATCCCATCCCATCCATCCGACTGGCTGACTGGCTGACTTCCTGTCCATGGCCATGGTCCGTGCTGTCCCTGCTGGAGAACTTTTCACATGCGGGAATTCCCCAAACCGCGAACCCCGAATCCCGAACCGAATGATGTCTTGAACTTTTGGGGGCGCAAAGTCGCAGCCATTTATTATCGGCGGTAAAAGTTTTGAAGCTGAAACATTTTACAGTTGTGTGTCATGAACCTAAATGTTTAGCATGCTGTTGTTGTTGTTGTTGTTGTTGTTGCTGTTGTTGTTGTTGCAACTCTTTGCTGTTGCTCTATGCAGTTTTCCTGCCTGCCTGCCGATATGTTTAAATGTGAGCAGTTCATGGGAACAGCGGACGAGAAAGTTGTTGTAGGTGCCGGCAGGGTGCACAGCCGACGTGATGGGGTCACCATCAGACAGGCACCAGCACCAGCACCAGCACCAGCCACAGCCATAATTACACGTGCAAAAACCAATGTCTGACATTTCTGGGTTAACGCGACAAATCAAAGGCCTTTTGAACCCAAGTGCCCACTGCGGTGTGCTGCAATTAACGGCACGTTTAATAACTCAATCAAATCAGCGCCGTCGACGCTTTCCGGGTGACCCTCATCATTGATGGACAATTGATGGAGATGTGCGAAACCCAAATCCTCCGCACAGCTCATCGTTAATTGATGCCTTTTACGAGTATGAAAGTGTAAGTCGAGCCAAATCTGTACACAGACACAAACAGAGATCAACACTCACCGTTTGGGCCCAGAGCCGGCTCTGGCTTTATGGCCGGAGCGGAGCGTGTGAACATGATCGGTCTTAGCCACAAAACTGCAGCGAGGCAGGCGGCAGGCGGCAGGCGACAGGCGGTAGACGGAATCGCGCTGCTCACCGCAAAGGTAGCTCTGTGATCTTAATTTAAACTACTTAAATATTTAAAAAAATAAGCCTAAGCAATTGTGTCGGTGTCCTATGGAGAATTTAGAGTTTAACGGTTCAATTATGCATACAAAAGTCACTCATTCTTCCATATTTTGGCTTCCTTGGGTTCATATTCATTCTGCCTTAGGAAGTGCTGTCAGTCCATCTCATAGACACTATCGCTTCGAAAATAATAATAAAATGTAATAAAAATAAAAAAGCTAAGTAAAATAATATTATTATTAAGATATAAGCATTTGTAAATTTTTAATGCCACTTTTTTCTCTGCGATTTGTACAAGCTTTGAATGAATTTTTTTGTTTCTGGTCAAGGTCTTTTTTAAATAATTTTGGTCAACCTTCTGCCGTTTATAAATTTATATTTATAAACGACGCCTAATTAATGTATTTATACGAATAAAATATAAAAACACTAGAAATAAGTTTTATCAACTTTTCCTGAGTTTTTAAAGTTAAAATTAAAAGTTCTGGATTTGAAAGATCAAGATTACCCAGACGGTAAGCTGAAACTATCTGCATTTATCAGCATTTCAGAGTTAATCATACCTCTAAAACGAAGCATTAAAAGAAATTCACTTTTTGTAATTTTAAAAAAACTGTGCCAAGAAATCTATAAGAAAAACTACGTTTGGTTCGATTTTTCCTATTATTATGTTGCAATATAATCCAGTCAAGTATGATCATATTTGAGCTACTGGACTATAGAGCATCAATAAGAAATGTCGTTTGTAAGAAAGATGTTTACGGATGAACCAACAAATGTGCAAAATGTATAGCTTTTCATCTATCCGAAGATCTATCGAAAAATCAATCCATAATCGTTACGCCCCTCTCGGCTAGGGTATCGTGTGCATCAACTGTGGCACATTGAAACCGACAAAAAAGCAACAAAATTTCTCACAGGTTTGTAATTTAAGCGCGCCACAACGACACCAACAACAACAAAATCCCCCCCGCAAAGACGACAGCAGCAGCGGCAGCGGCAGCGGCAGCGGCAGCGAATCACCACAAACTAATTGCAAAGTTTAAATGCGATACTTTTATGCATTTTAAATATTTCAATTAGTTGTCGTAGAGGTGAGCAGACATCAGACAGCGGACACCCGACCACGGACGGCACAGCGGACCAGCAACAAGCCACAAGCAACAAGAAACGAGGCGGATGGAGGCGCATCGAAATGGATGCCGCCTGTAAATGGCCAGAAAGAAAGTGCAAATAGCGTGGGGCGCCAGCAAATAAAGTAAAAAGTGTTTACAGACGAGTCCGAATACGAGTGCGAGTGCGAGTATATAAAAAGGTCCGTTTGCTTAACCCCGGCCGAATATTGGCAAATTTATGAACTTTAAGCCGCATTTATGCGTGCGGCTTATAAGCAATAAAGGTAACTTAGTGCCAACAATGTCATAAAGGCCGCTGTCGCATAAACCACTCCAACAATGGTATTGGAAATGGGGAATGGGGAATGGCCGGCGAATTCAATATCGTATGAATTTATATGCAAAAGCTGAAAAAGCGTAGCATCGCCAAAAGCGAAAATAAAATTAATAATCAGAAGAATTTCACTTTTCACGCAACGACAGCAGCAAAAGCAGCAACAGCAGCAGCAGACAACAGCAACTACATCAGTGTCGGCATCTCGCCATCGTCTGCCATGTCACCCACAAAGTACAAGCCAAAAAAGTCAAGAAGGAAAGGTTACCACGGCTAACCGAAGCATAACATACCCTTTCAAATACCTTGTCTCCATATATAGTAAACAGAAACTTATTTAAAGTTTGTAAAGTCTTTTGGACTATCTATACAAATAAATCTTTTTTTTCCACTCAACGTATGGTTTTTGGAACGAGCATTCCGATCCAATCTTGGTAGCTATTTCCTGCTGATCTTTGCAGGAATGCAAACATCTTGAACTAGTCGTAATATCCACTTGAAGGGTGGTCAAAAGACTCAGAGGCCAGGTCAGGCGCTGAAGCGCTGGGAATACAGTTGCATAAATTTATTGAAATTTGCATTTCGGTTTTCGACGTTTTCGTGGCTGTTGCCGCTGCAGTTCCGTGTGCCGTTCCGTTGCATTGCTGTCCGTCCGAGGTTTGGCCTATAAAAAATATGGCATCGATTGATCGCAACGCGAGATATTTCAATTAGCGTAAATACATTTTTGTCGTTGTTGGATGGGACTGCTGCCAGACAGACAGTCGCAGCAGACGGAACAGAGACACGCACAGCGATCGACGATCAGCGATCAGCGCGGGCTCTCCATGAAAGAGAAATCGATGATGTTCACGGGACAAGAGATATGTACATTTATGCCATACGATGCGTAGATTAACTTATGGTCGTGTCGCCATTCAAAATGGCCAATGATAACGAGCTCGATCTATGCAAATTTCCTTACTCGTTAGCCGAAAATCAAATATAGGCAAGCGGGCTCTATATGGGCCTGCTGGTACTCGTGGACAAAAACCTTTTCCCAGGCTTTGGTTCGTTTGGTAGCGCGGTTTGTATAATGGCAAATCACTTAAGCACAATCATGTCAAATTTAAATTAAAACTAATGATAATAGTAGTCGGGTAGGTGGAGCCGAGGAAGCACACGAGGATCGTCTCCTAGGGATCCTCTGGTGTGATTTTCACATGCATTTGCTTAACGCCTCTCAAGATGACGATTTCCAGGTCTTTTCTGCCTTCGGCCAGGGCATCATACACGTCCGAGGAGTTCTTGATCTCCTTCTTGTTAATGTGGGTGACAATGTCGCCTGGTTGCAGACCGCCACTACGAAATAGACATAGATTAGTGATATTCGTGGATGGATTGTCCACCCTGCTCACCTGTGTGCCGGTGAGCCCACAATGACCTTCCAGACCAGCACGCCGTGCATCAGATTGTTGGGCATGTTCTGACTGCGGGACTTCAGCTCGAACAGTATGTCAGGCGTGAGGGTCAGCATGGTGATGCCCATGTATCGCTTGACCGGATATCCCGTTTTGTGGGCAGATCCCTTCTTGCGACGCTCCGCGGCCCGCTCGAGGAACACCTTTACATAGTCGATGGGTATGGCAAAGCTGATGCCAGCGGTGACCTTCATTGAGTTGACGCCAATGGCCTCGCCATCCAGATTCACCAGCGGCCCCCCAGAGTTGCCAAAGGTAATGGCCGCGTCCGTCTGCAGGTAGTTGATATCGCGGTTGCGCAGCCCCAGCTCCTGGGAGGCGCGCTGCGTGGCACTAATGACGCCGGCAGTAACCGTGTTGCTCAGCGCCAGGGGGCTGCCCAGGGCCACGACCCACTCGCCGGACCGCAGGGTGCTGCTTTTGCCGAGCTTCATCACGGGCAGGCCGCTGACATGAATGCGCAGCGTGGCCAGGTCGGAGGTCTGGTCCACGTCCTCGATTGTGGCGGGAAAGGTGCGTCCGTCCGACAGCCGCACCTGCACCATCGTGTGCGGCTTGTTGATGACCACATGGGCATTGGTCAGAATGAGACCGTTCTGCTCGATCACAAACCCCGATCCGTTGGACGCTGTTATGGGCTGACCACTGAAGTAGTCGAAGTGGCGAGTGTCCTTAATCTCAATGTACACCACGGAGTCTCCACAGCCGGCCACCACGTCAGCGATGAAGTTGAATTCATTTCGCCGTCCTTTCAGCGAACGCGCTGAGATCGTTGGTGTGAGTTCGTCCCTATGTCCTTCTATCAGTACGGCACTGACTAGAGCACCCAGGGAGAAGGGCACACAGAACTGAAAAACACTACGCCAGCCAAACCTTCTGTACCCGGACTTATTCTGGCCATTATTCTCTTGGTCTTTGCTATTGTCGCCGCCGCTGCCTTTGCTGCTGCTGGCCGTGTGAGCTGTTCTGCTGCTGGCCACACAGCAGCGGTGTAACGTGGGTGCAGTGCATCGCCTCAAGAATATTTCCAGATTGTTTATACATCGCAGCGCCATTTATTTCCGTTCTGTTTCTATCTGTGAAATATTTGTTTGTTATTCAATTCAACTGTCAGCGTCAGCTGTTTTTGATTGTGAATGACACAAGCTGCCTGCTTCGTCACCAACAACCTCTCAGGCGTTGAAATTATATCGATGGTTGGGACTATCGCCATCAGCTTGACCAGTACCACTATCGATATATTTATCGGCATAGCTGCGGTTTCAGTTACATTCAAATTCAAATCGCACGGAAAATTTAAATAATAAACGGTAACTTTCCGAATTAAGCCAAGAGAACCATTTTCACAAGACAACGGGAATTCGGTGGTAACTGATGCCTGTTGCATAATCGGGGGAAAATAAAAGAAAAAAGTGGTATAGTTTCCACAGCTGAATGAACGCGAATTTGCTTTTCATTTCCATCTATTTACTGATACTTTTCCAGATGTTGGCTTATCAAACCCACAAAGAAAATAATCAAGAATTCGCCCTCTGGACAATTCGGTTCCCTTCTGTTCTGTTCTGGTTTGATGGCTTTGGAATGTGCATTCAAATTGCCAGCACAGAAACAACGCGAGTCATTTGATTACACACTGGGCACCAGGGTCACAAAAATCACACGAGGACTGACAATAAAGGTGAGTTAATTAACACGAAACCAGTGCGGCTTGGTAAGCCTGGCCTAACCAGGAAGGCAATCAATCTCTTGAATTTGACTTGAAACGATGGCAAATTGGGTGACAAGTACATACATATACCCGTAGCTCCTGGGTGTCGCAGAGTCACTGACAGACTGAGAAAGAGGGGGATCTAATTTATGTAAATTCCATGCCTAAGTGCCGTTCCGTGTCCGGCTGCCGGTCTGTCTGGCATTGAAGACGATGTCGCCTGCCTTTGTAATGTAAACAAAAGAGGAAACACGTGCTGGCTGTGGATCTGTCGAGGCGCATGCGCTGCGCATAACATTCAGTTAACATCAGGTTTAATCAGGTTCGAGAAGTCCTTTTAAAGATGCTGCTCGCGCCTGGTCGGCACAGTTCGCTGTTAGAATTCGTTCGGTTGACTTGCCCGGGAGTCCAGAGACCCCCATCAATCCTTCTTTATTTCTTTACCGAAACCAGGCAACAAGTGTCCCACAGAATGTGCGTAAAGAACTCTTGCTTGTCCATAGTGCTGGGGCTTTCTATCGTCCTCATGGGGTCTGCGGTTCCCGGACTTGGCCAAAATGAGACCACCCTGAGGCAGGACTGCGGCAGCACGCAGCGAATGGTCGATGATTGCTTCAAGGATTTGCCGCCGCATCTAATGGAGTTCCTGCAGAACACCAAAATCATCATCAGCAAGAGCGACATCACGACAAAGTGCAAGTAAGCGAACAGCCGCGGATATCGGATTTTGGGCATTGCAAATTGGACATTGGACACCAGCTCCCAAGAAGGTCCTCTGTAAATTATTAATGATGCTATGCAATTTGAGTGGACTTATATGTATGCTCGTAAATATGTGAGGACAGAAGCTGTTCTTGAAACAAATGCTTGTAAATTTCTTAAGGAAAACTTTGCGCCCCACCGACTTTGAGGGATGAATTTTTGACTTTGGCAAAAGTTTGTATGTTTAACAAGAAATACTACTCAATGAGAAACTTAGAGTCTGTGCATGCTTAAAGGAAAGAAGTGCGGTCTTTTTTTGCTGAAGCAATTCTTAAATCCCCATGAGAATAAAATTCTTAGAATTCTTCTCCCTTTTTTCCATTAAACTCCTTGGATTTACTGTGCAAATTTGGTTAAATGGGATTTGCAAAAGTATTTGGAATTGCTGAACCATAACACAATTCAGTCAGGTAGCAATAAAGTACCCAGGGACAGGCTATTGGCTTCTTCGGATTGTCATCGAGGCAATCACTTTGGGACTTATATTTGCACGGCGGAGTACATGGCAACAGTATTTTGGGCACTCAAACAACCCGAGCCTATTCAAATATTCGCATCTTAATGGGACTATGTTTTGCAGCATTTTCAACCGGGGAATGCGATGCTTTGATGCCTACTCGAAGCGCTGCCTCAACGACCGAAAGCTGGACACCTTTAAGATCAACGTGGAAGGGGCCCGTAGATTTTTCTATAAATTCTGCGGCGATACGGATTTTCAGCGAGGTAAGCGTCGTGCGGTTATCCATCATCCAGGAATTAAATCAATTTGTGAAGCACAAACAGAGCCAGAGAAACACCAGCCACACTACACACAAGCCCAAGGCACGCAGGGCTCCGGCTGAGATACACCTTACACCGACCTTACACTGAGATACAAGCACAGGGCATGGCCAACACTGAGACACAGTCAAGCACACAATCAACACACATCGGGATTATCCCTGCTAAGTCCATGGCCAAAGCTCACACGAAGGACCCCTCGACTTGACAGGACTTTATTTATTCATTTGATGGTGGACCCCCCCACCCACTGCCCCACCAGCCCCACTCTACTGTACGTTGGTCGGCTTTGCAGATTACCTGAGGCACAAGGACTGCTTCGCCTACATCCAACTGGACTGGGTCAGCTGCACATCCGAGTTCGAGGGCATCCTCAGTGATGAGGTGCACGATGCGACGCGCAACACGAGCGACAAATTCATCGAATTCTGTTGGTAAGTGCGGGCATTGGATAATGCCATTTGGCAGGCGGGGAAATCGCATTCGATGTGTGTGTGGCCCTCTGACTCTTCCAGTGCCCGCTATGCCTACGAGAACTGCATCTACAACAGCGCGAGATACAAGTGCTACCAGAATTCAGCGGAGTTTGCCCGGGAAACGGCCAAAATGCTGTCCGACGAGAAGCACTTCAGGAACTGCGCCGTTCTCGAGAACATCTGCGGAAAAGCCTCACGGCTGGCCCGCCACTGGCTGGGTGCACAGCTGAGCCTGCTCCTGGTTCTGTTTGTGGTGCGACTCCTGCCATAAATTGATGCTAAATGGATGAACGAACGCCGCGTTCCGTGTTCCGTGTGCTGTGGGGTCCATAGGTGGTCATAGGTTTGTTTGTTTTTTTTTTTTTTTTACCTTGGATTGTCCAAATGAAAAATGCCAAGCATTTCTCTCATTTTCTCTCTCTCTTGCTCTGTGTGTTTTTTATTTTCCTTTGAATATAATTGGGTGGGTCACGGGGTCGGAAAGCGACACTGGTTTTTCCTCTAGTCTGTTAAGCTACGTTAAATGTATATTTCGAATAAAAAGTATTCTTCTGAAAAAGTACGCCTGATTTTCGTTTTTCTTTTCTGCGGCTTTGCTGGGAATGTGGGTCTCCCAAGGCATTCCGGCCTTAATTGATAGCTCAAAGTAAAATATGCTTCCAGGTGCTTCCGAACAGCAGTTCAGTGGAGACAAGAAAATAAGAAAATACCAAATAAAATAGAGACAAAACTGTACTAAAAAAGGAATCTCCCTAAGATTTTTCAGCAAAAGTATAGAGAAATTCAAAAAATATTTCTCTTAAATGTTTAACAGAAATTACTCGAATTCATGGTCCGAAAATAGCTCAAATTTTTGTCTTTTGTGACCGGATTTCTATATGGGTGGTTTCCTGTTCTGCTTTTTCAGCAGCCACAAGCGAGAATGTTCCACATTCCCGTCTTCGAGAAACAGAAAACTGAAAAAACCGCACACGGCTCTTTGGTAACCTTTGAACTGTTGGCTAACTATATTAACGAACTCTTTGCTGAACTAGCGGTCAGCGGCTCCACCCTGTCTGTCCAATCCTCTCCAATCGATGACAGGTTTAATGGCATTCAACCTCAAAGCTTTTTGAGGTTTCCAGCCATCGCTGGAAATGAAAACCTAAGACTGGCTGCAACTGAACTTAAAATTAAAGCGGACCTCCTGCCACCAGCTTCCTTTCGAACGTATCCAGCGCAAATCAGGGACAGCATCCAGGGACAGACCCATTCTCCCAGAAGCAGCTGGGGCATACAAAATTACCGAAGCAAAACACTTCGCCCTATGAAATATAGAGTTCATCGGCTAGAAGACCTTTTCTATGGAGACTGCAAGCTTTGCCACTGACTTGCAGTAAGAGTATGAAGGAGCGTACAAAAAACAGAATCAAATTGGAGGGAACAGGGCATTTTCCTTTTCTGCTTTCACTGGAAATCGCTTCTTTCATTCGGCTGTGCAATATTTTTCTACCATCTGCATAGCGAGAGATATGGAGATATATACTGTAAGATGCACTTTTCCGCGGAACCCAACTCTTCAGAACAACAAGTCGACAATATCTTTATAAGAAAAGGCGGTTGAAATTCAATTCTGTACTGTTCTTTTCATGTACATATGATGTACATGTATGTACTCCTAATATGTGTACCTAATGATTCAGAAGGTTTTCAAAGAAACCCAAAGAGAACGTACCATCGTTCGCTCTTCTGTTAACAAGCCAGCCCCATTTTCACCAAAATGTTTTAAAGTTAAATTGTTCCTAGCGGACTAGCGGGCTTGCTTCCCTGTGGTTTGGGTATTTTTTGGGTATTTCATTCTGCAGGTCACGCGAATGCGACAGAAAAAATCCATGTACGAGTACGTACGTCCAACTGCCAAAAGAACTGTCAATGTCGATATGCAACAGGGAGACATCCGGTGTGCCAGTGGCAGTCCTGTAAGTGTTTGTTTGCGGATTTTACAGCTGGTTGCAGGAATTTAATCTATTTATTTTGTGCCATTTTGCAGCTTCGTTAATCCGTGTACGCTTGATTGATGGATTGATTCGGTTATGCAACACAGAATGCATTTTCATATGCATGCCTCAAAAAAAACAACCATTTGGTGGTACTTGGATTTTTTATAAACATTTATTTATGCAAAAAGTTAAACATAATCGTACATAAATGTATGTATTGTATGTATAGATTTCTATTCATTTGATTTGTTACATGTGTGCGTATTATGTGTATATAGTATGTATGTATCTGGTGTATTCATTGACAAGCTCTGATCATATGTGAATGGATTATCTAACAATTAATCGATGATTTCTTAATCAAGCGCATGCACCTCAG